ACTTGTATCTCGTATGTGGTTCAGAAAGTTTATTCATAAGCACTAGCTACTTAGTTGAGTGCGTCGGTGGCACAGCGGTTAGCATGCTCGCCAACCATGCACATGGTCCGGGGTTCGATCCTCGGCCGACTCACTCCTTTACCTCACTTAGCCAGTAATAAGATTGGTAAAGAGGAAAGGTTGGGTATGAGGCTAGCAACCCCATCTTGTAAAAATAAACACTGACAGAGAAATTTCAAGCCTCCAGCCTGGAGCCCTATGTTCCACTAGGGACGTGAAGAAAATAAAAAAAACTTGGTTGAGTACTCCTAGTTGACAGATTTCTCTCTGGATTATATTTTCATTTTCACAGTATCCAGTATACATTGTAAGCGAATTCTTCACCATATTGCTTAATTAAATCCCACCAAAAGATGGTGTTTGGCATAAGCGAAAGTGACTTCTCATATATGTCCTATCATCCAGTTTAGTCGTCATGATGTCAAGATGTTGATATGACAAAGTGTTTGATATATTTCAAGACAACATTTGTTCAGGGAGTAATTTGTAGAGCTGAGAAACCTGTATATGAACGAAGTAACCTATTCTGAATAGAAGCTTTCAGAAAGAACTGCTGAAATGTACTGAAGTCTTTAACGAACAAAAGCGTAGAAAAACCGCATTTGTAAGTCGAAAGCCTGTTTAGCTGACAAAATTAAACTTATATTGTCTTCTAAAAGGGCATATTCACTTCATCTGTCTTGATCTTTAGTTGTGACTTGAATAATGTAATATCACAGTGTCTGATATACTTATGGGTCTGAGAAGAAAAGAAAATTATTTAGTATTACATTATAGGTGAATAAGTCTGGTGCAAAACTCTTGGAAAATACAACATGAATGTTGTTTTATTGAAATGATGAACTATGGTGAGTATATTTTCACATTTGAGATGAAATAACAGCGTGGTGAAGGCAAATGAGAAACACGAAGTGATATTTAGTGATAAATTTGCGGTTAAACAGGAGGATAGTGAAAGTATGCGACATACCTCCAAAGATAATTTTATTCTCAATCAATGGGAAGACCTTCAGTGAGGAAAACGTCAACATGAAAGATATTTGAGAAATGATAATTATGTGAACCACAACACAGCTATCGTAGTCAGTCGTATGGACAGATATTGAATTAATTATTGTTTCTCCTCAAATTACATTACTACCGACTAGGTGAGGTTCGGAATCAAGTCAGTCATGAATCAAATCCAGATTCCGTGACTGGTTGGTGAGCATTCTATATTCATTCGTTTTGGCTGAACACCATTATCAGTCACCGGAATAATTGACAGCGATGAAACTATGCCGAAACTAAAAATTCTTCAATCAGACTGATAGAACTTTGATAAATATATCTGACTATCCGTCCTGTTTATTTGATTCAGCGGGTTTCATGTTTGATGATAAGTAGCCAATGCATGGGAGTTCTCCATCACTTTTCACACGTCATCCCATGCTGTCCAATCAGGTATCCGTGCTATTAGATAGTGTTGATGTAGCTGCAGAAATTAACTGTATTTATTGAGAATCATTTTAAGATGTGAATATGAGTAATGCTATGACAGGGAATCCTAATTCTGTTTCACAAGTTAGAAGAATGTTACTCTTTGATAAATAAACATGCGCAGAAACTCAGAGATATTACGGTCCAGATTTCTTGAAGAATATTGGCTTTTGCATTGTAAGCTAATTAGTGGCGTCAAAATGTCGACTGAATAGACTATACTAGAAAGAAGATATTTCGATTTCGACGTAAACTCGAGATTAGAGAACGGCGTACTGAGTGTGATGATTCGAGAGCCTGTCAGTTTAACTAAGAGATGTACACAGTGCAAAACACAAAGGATTTTTTATTTTTTATTATTTTGATTACAGCTTGATTCCGCACTGTATTTTTGGTGCAAGTATGAAATTTTTCAGCATGTGATATCGGTAGCCCAAATTTTACAGGCCGACCATTGATATCAGGTGTGCGTTGGTAGGAGATCAAACACCGGACCATGTGCATGTTTGGCGAAAGTCCTAACCACTAAGCCACCTCAAAAGAAGGTATTTGGGATGCGCAGTCAAACTAGTCGAATATGTCACTACTAAAAAGTTTACAGTCTGAATAACAGAAACTAAAGGGACCGTACTTAGATTACCGCTGTAGATGACAAAACTTATTCTAATGTCGCCCACTGAAGGCAAACAGACACTTAATCTCTCTTCATCCTAATTTGTGACTTAAACGGTGTAATACCAAGGTGTCTGATATCATCGTGAATCTCAGAGGGAAGACACTTTTCTTTAACATATCAGATGTGTGTATAGATAACCGTAAACAGGCATGACAGTAAACATGAAGCCTGTTTATCCAACAACTTTCCCTCACACCTCATTACCCATTTGAATAAGTTATATCAAACCGAGGAGGGAATTAGAATATATTAGAGATTAGCATACGCACAGGAGAATGAAGCTGGAAGACAAGGGTTGTTTAGCAAAAACAGTAGAACAATAAAGTAGATCTTATTTTGAACCGAAAATTCTAGTTCACCTAACAGACCTATCAAATCACTGAATAGAAAACTAAAAAAAAACAAAAGTCACATAGTAAAAGCTGTGATTCACAACGATTCATCTTATTTGTATCGGTTGACAACTAAATTACGATTTGAATAAAGCAAGAACAACAGCAGTTTGGGCAGAATCATATGGTACCATCATTTATTTCGTTGGCTTCTCATCAGCTGCTTACAGCCTAGATAAACTATGAGGTTTACGTACAGAAAAGTTTTAACATACTTGCAAATTTTACATGTTGTCAGTTGACAGAAAGTTCCACAATAAGTGAACAGTGCTCAGAAAATTGCGCTTATATAGTTTTTACACAGGTAGTTCAAGTTTAAACAAAATAAATGTATGCATACACTGGTAAAGGAGTTACGTAATAAAGACAAAATATGCGTTAGATACAGAGTGACTAATAAATTAGGTAACAATGTACTGAGTTCAACTCAAATCATAGAAACAAGAGACAAACAAAATAACAGGGGGTGAGGTTAAAGACAAAGATTACATAATCGGATAAGAGAATAAAGACATTCAGTTACCATGGCAAGAAAAGACTAATAACTGCTTCTTTCTGAACACAAAAATCTGGTTTCAAGCGTTTGGTAGAAATGGCTTCGGCAAACTTGAGGAGAATGGAGCTCCTTTGTCTGTTGGTAATTTTAAAGGATTTCTCGACTTCCACCTCATGACCCAAGTCAAGATGTCTGATAATAGCGCTACTATAAGAGTTTGTTTCGTTGATACTTAGGCTTTTCGGCATATATTCAGAAAATCGGAGTTGTGCACTTCTTTCCGTTCTCCCAATTTAACTGCTCCCCCAGATACACGTAAATTTGTGTACACAGTTTGAGTAAGCATGAGAAGGGTATCTGTCAACTTTTGACTGCACCAAAGAACATGTTGTTCGATGGACGAGAAACAACTTAGCTGGCTGAAGGATAGGCTCTGGCTAGTGACATACTCAGCCTTCTGTTGACCATTTCTGCAATGTTTTCACCTCTAAAATCTAGTTGAATGAAGACATACCTTTTTCAGCTGTGATTTGTTTTATTTCTGAGCCTACACATCTTCCATATTTGTTAATGAATCTTTGTGGATAACTGTTGTTTTTCAACACCTTTTCGAGAATCGTAAATTGTTCCTCTACTTTCTCTGCAGAGCATATTCTCTTCGCTCTATATTACAGAGTCTTGACTAGTGCTCGTTTATAGCTATTTGGATAAAAGCGATTAAAGTGGAAGTATTGTTCATTCCATGTAGGCTTTCGGTAAATTGACCTCTAGAGATCTTCTAGGTGTTGCATGGCGATATCAAGGAAACGGAACTTTCCATTGTGTGCATACATTTATTTTGTTTAAACTTGAACTACCTGTGTAAAAACTATATAAGCGCAATTTTCTGAGCACTGTTCACTTATTGTGGAACTTTCTGTCAACTGACAACATGTAAAATTTGCAAGTATGTTAAAACTTTTCTGTACGTAAACCTCATAGTTTATCTAGGCTGTAAGCAGCTGATGAGAAGCCAACGAAATAAATGATGGTACCACATTACTCTGCACAAACCGCTGTTGTTCTTGCTTTATTCAAATTCATCAATGGGAATAAATGCATAAACTACGATTATTACATTCCAAATAAGTAAATCCTCTGATAATCAAGAAAGGAAACTGCATTATTTTCCATAGACAGTTACAGAAGACTAGGAATCAAATCACTCAGTTCACTGTAAATTTCTGAATGCAAGTGTAGCTATAAGTTTACAACCGCAATCACTATTCTTGTGAGGCTTCCTTAGATGTCTGTATTTGAATCAGTGAATCTACGCATTCAAATACGACTCGTTGACGAGTGAATCATTAGTGTTTTTCATTTATTCTCTGAATTCGATTTTATTCTAAAGAAGCCACTTAGGATATCAGTGGTGTATGTAAACCATGTCAGAATATGTTTGTGCACAAATCGATAAATTACAATAAATATGAAGGCCAGACATTTGAAACCGTGGAGTATCCTATAAATTCTATCACATTAATAACAAGAAGATAGTTAGACCTTAAGATTATTCAAGCTGAGCGTATATTATGAGAAGCTCAATAAAAGTGATTTGGCCAGGAGTAAGCTGAGTAAGGTAGGACAGATATATCTGAATTTCTTACATTTGGTTCCCTTGATAAATTCTGATAGAGAAAGACAGACCAGAAATGCAGCATGAAATGATATCATCATTCTATTTCACAGGTTCTCAAACCACCTGAAATTACAATGGATATAAATAATGACATTTCATACTTCAAAGTTTGCAGGTGATGAGAATTTGTGAAATAGAAAAAAGATCTAAACTGTTATTTCCACATTATTTCGCCTTATGATATGTGCCAATAAAACTGAACAAAATATCTTAACTCACATTTTATGCACCAAGTATTCGATAATGAAATCAGGATATTGTGGAGGATTTCCACTTGATTTTCAGAGGTTAATAAATATTTTCAGAGAGGACGGTGAATTCGTTCCTTCCTTCTGATTGTCAACCAGTCGTCAGCCAATCATAACTGGTAATACATCAAATGAACCAATAAGTAGTGAGACATTATAGTGGGGATTAATGACCTAAAAGAGTCATGTTAAATTTTTCTCATCTATACCATATACTTTGTCGTTTATCCCTGTTTGCCACATGCGAAAATTTCTCAACGTTTCACTTGTCATCACTTCTCCTTACCACTCAGTTATTCAGTTAAACTAACTTTAACTAAAATCCTTTATCCAAAAAGTATGCTTTAAAATATTTAGAACAACACATTTAAGCGAACAATATTGTTTTCAATTAGATCTCTAACATAACTCTAATATATATAAGTTTACAAATAAAATTCAAACATGAACTAATCATGGTGTTTTGTCTATAGGATAATAAATTGTGCAATTAGTCCTTTGCACAGAGAAATCGTGCAATATAGAATTAGTGATGTATTCGATTTTATTTCTAAAATATCTGAGACTAATGTGAGGTATAAACGCATGTTATATATGGATCTATCATCACTATTCACTAATGTGCCATTTATGGAAACATTAGATTGTATTTTCCAAGAAATCACTGAAAGGCAATTAGACTTAGGACTCCCCTTGTATAGCCTCAAAGAATTACTTCTTAAATGCACAATGAATGTTCACCTTGTCTTCAATAATTCATACTATCGACAAGTAGATGGAATAACTATGGGTTCACCATTAGGCCCAATATTTATTAAGTTACAATTTACTGGTAACTTACCAAGTGGGATTTTATTCCAGAGACTTTCCAGGAGTATACGAAGAACGTTTTATGCAGCACACCTATGTTTTTCATTCTCTAGCCGACGAATGATTGGGACGCAAACGAAGGATAAGCTATATAGTTTTGCCATATCTATGTGCATTTGTCAATTCAACTGCACCTGCGGTGACAGTTATGTTGGACGTAACACTAGACACCTCAGCCAACGTGTTAGTGAACATCTCCCATCGTGGTTTGGCAAAGGACAAACAAAAACAATCCGTAGCTCAATTTTTTTCACATTTAGTTGATGGTGGCCATGTATGTAGTTGAGAAAACGAGAGCTTTCAAAGTAATTCATCGTATCCCACCAAATCTTTCCAATAGACTTCGTATTCGTCTACTGCACACAGCTGAGGCAGGCGATAGGCATTCGAACTATTAAACCTAAACTATGCATTCAAAAGAAGTTCGTACAGCTATTATCCCTCCCTTGGCCTATTAAGACATAAGTAACTAATGACTTCAACCCCTTTCTTATCATCCCTTAATCTTATCACATCTTCATTAAAAACGTGTTTCATTTACTTCCCTTACATTCTAACATTACTTAATCGGTTCATTTGTTTTTACTAGCCTTTATCGACTACTTCCACCTGAACATTTGTTTGTTTAATCATGCTGTTTTTTTCATTATTCATGTAATCACAGATTGCCTCACTTTTTCATCCTTATTATTGATAGAACCATTATTATTATTACCATTATGATTATTGTTATCATTACTACTAATATGACTAATTGTGCAATTTATATTCACCATCGTATTATCCTATAGACAAAACACCATGATTAGTTCATGTTTGAATTTTATTTGTAAACTTATATATATTAGAGTTATGTTAGAGATCTAATTGAAAACAATATTGTTCGCTTAAATGTGCTGTTCTAAATTTTACTGTGGTAATATTTAATATATTTTAAAATATTCGTTTGATATTTTGATTATTAAATGATCACTAGCTATAGAAGAAAGTATGCTGTTGAAGGGAGATGTCAGTAAAACTGAAAGATACAAACATTGCATTCGAGATTAACCAAGCATCATCGAAGTTAACAATACAATCCTCATTTTATGTTTACAAGAAGAGTTGTTGAAGAGAAATAACTTGGTATTTGAAATACTGTACAAAGAAGCAAGTGATTTAGTAGTGTAAATCAGCTCATGAATACTTCATGCTGCTCCCCAGATCTTTGTCCGTGAAAGCACTCATAACACGTGTGAAGATAACGAAGATGATGAAGGGAAAACCTTTGATTAGAAATCCATCAAATGACCATAAAACACAAGTCAATTAGAACTAATCTTGAAAATTGTACACTATCAACCATATAGACAGACACTAAGAGAGAGAGGGAGAGAGAGAGTATAAATAGAGCGTCAAGGCAATAGGAGGATGGATAGTGGAAGCATCTTGGAAGGAGATGGCTTAAATATACACTAGAGTTCTGGAATCTGAAAGAAATCACTAACGCTGGTTTCGAATAGATAAAAATCTCAAGCGTAACTAGTAATAACGATAGATACTTAGTAAGGATGACAACTCAGCTTCGAGTCTTCAAATCATGCCTATAAATGCGTGGTATTTTCGGGACTTCCAGAATAAACTAATTGTAGTTTAGGATGACAAACAGTCTGTGTGCGTAAGTGATCAATTCATTTTTCGTGAAAATTGGAATAGCATTAGAATTGGAAGGAGCAGTCTGTTGACTTCTATCTCGATGCTCTACACAGGTGGAATTAAAAATTATTGTTAGACAATCGTGTTGTTACACGTCTATTTCGTCTGATAACCAATGTTCTGAGTGTGTGGTACATCACTCAATTAACATGTATTTCACACAGCAAGTTAGCCAACACGACATATCTTCGATAACTTCCTTTCCAGCTCCAAAATGTATGCTACTGTAACAACAGAAGACAAGGGCCAGGCAACAGATCGTTTTATTATGAAAATCAACACGTATTTATACATCTTTCAACTACATTATTATAGACAAGCGCAGTCATCTGATTGGTTGTTTAGGTAGACAAACGCAGGCTTCTGATTGGTTGTTTACTCAGGCTTCTTCATATTTTCTCACGGCCCATATTAGTGACCTAGACCTTAACGTAGATTAGTGCCAACCAATCGGCTAGCAGCCTGCTCTCACCACACTCGTCCCCCCGTCAAATACGTGCGACTGAAGTCGGCTTGATTTACTTGGGGCAGGCGTCATCGTTGCTTGTCTCGCTGTATCCATTTCTGGAGCTCGCTGACGTTCACGCGCCTGTCATTGTTCGCCATTGCGACTGTGTCTGCGTAACCCCATCTCGAAGTGACCATATATGGTCCTTCCCACTTTGGAAACTGTTTGCCTGACCCTGTCGAACATTCGTCCATACTTCGGCTCACACTTTCATATGCTGCTTTCACCCGACCTCCCAGCAGCGTCCCAAGTAGCAGCTCCATCGCTGACAGATCTTGAACGCCACTCAACTGCGCAGAAGCCTTGAAGTCCTGCCCGAAGATCCATATGTCTCCATCAAAAACTGCAGGGTATAGGCTTTTCATTTGTCGGTAGGCAGCGACACCAAATGTAACAACAGAAGACAAGGGCCAGGCAACAGATCGTTTTATTATGAAAATCAACACGTATTTATACATCTTTCAACTACATTATTATAGACAAGCGCAGTCATCTGATTGGTTGTTTAGGTAGACAAACGCAGGCTTCTGATTGGTTGTTTACTCAGGCTTCTTCATATTTTCTCACGGCCCATATTAGTGACCTAGACCTTAACGTAGATTAGTGCCAACCAATCGGCTAGCAGCCTGCTCTCACCACACTACAAAAATAGTCAAGTCAGCTAAACAGTGAATTCGCCTACCTCAATTGTGTTACGATCTACTTCAGTGACAATGAGTGGTTCAGTCGAATTCAAATCAACCAATTTCTTTAGAGAATGAAAATGTTTCATTTGAAGCGTCTGTAAAAGTCATCTGTAAGTCACTCATAAATACTACATTGATTAAATACAATACTTTGGATATTTCATTCAAAGTGGATGACCTCTATAAGCAATATTGAGATTAATCAGAACAGACAACTGATACTGAATACACTATCTGTACTCACTGATAATACAAACTTACCCTATAATCAGCAACAATAATCTGTATTGTACACGTTTACCAACGTATCAGTGTAGCGCTGAACAGTAAATATCTCGTTGTGGAGCAGTGAGGAGTACACGCTGAACACATATTTTGCATAGTGAGACAACTAACATTGTTTATAGTAAACCTCTGTAACTAATATCCGTTGCTCGTCTGCTAACTTATTTTTAAAAGTCTAATTCAAATAAGATTACTAGGCTTCACTTTGAGACACATCACTGACATACGAGACAACATTATCAAACATACGTCTCAAAATACTGAATATTTCTCCTATGACATGCAATTCATTCCAAAACCATTTCCTCTGAACACGATTCGCACACTGTCAACATTTCTATGTATTGAGCATTCTTCATTCTTACAGCGTTTCACGAAATGTTCCCTTATTCATCACTTTCACCTTCCCATCGTGTGACTGTGCATTGAGATGAGGTTAACTGTAATAATCGAATTAATTCGAAAATTTCAAAGACTGAATTCGATTGGCTAATTTTTAGTCACACTGTGTCACCACCAAAGAAACTATGGCTGAGAACATTCCATTTATGACTTGTGAATAATCTTCGAAGTCAGTGAGTGTATCATGAAAAGAGAATACTGGATGGTCGAAGTGAGTTCGAATTCGAGTCAATGAGCTATACTCCGCCAACAAAATCGAACACTTTCACATTCTCCTTAAAAATGTGAGGACTATTAGGCTATTCTGGTCCTTTGAATGGCTGATTAGTTCACTGAATGAAGTGTTTGTATCAGGGAGTTGAGTTCTCATCTTCCAAATCACATTGGTGCATTATTATGATCTAGTGATTTTCGATGAGAAGTGATGACCACCAGTGGGGACCATCAGGTCGGATGTGGAGACAAACACTCACTGGTGACATTGAGTGTTGGTGGTGCTAGAAGTTGTGAACTGACGGAAGTTGGAATTCATTGGTTGACGATTGGATTCCGTCTCAGTGGCTGAATGATCAGTGAGGTCGCCTTCTTTCCCGAAGAACGTGTACTCGATCCCTCGTGGTGTAATGATGAGTGTGTATTGCTGCAGTGTTCAAAATTATTATGGAACAGT